GCGATGTCTGTCATAGCTCTCCTTCACACTTGGGATTTTATCCTTCCTTTCTTTTTCCCCTTTGAAAGCTAGTTTCAACCTCAGATACAGTTTCATCTGTTCAGAGCTGGTAAGTTGCTGTCTGGTACTCCAGGCCAAAGTAAGGTCTTAGTTCTCCCAGAGATGTGTGGGCACATAGCCCTCAGCTTCAGGACTCAGCCAGACTTGAGGAAAGCAGCATGGCCAGCACGTTGTTATTGGGCTTGGTGCTAGTGGTTACAGACCAGCTGCTGTGAGCTTGCTCAGAGGGATTTTATCTGTGCAACTTAGAAATGTTGACCTTTGAAATGTCACTTGCTTTTCATTGCTTACTCATTTCTCTGCAAGTTGTTAATGTGGGCACAAACATTATCAGAAATATTTAACCCAAATCAGAATTTGTTTCAGTTTTTGGACTGTGCGTTGCACAATACCACTAAAGGCTTATGAGCACACTCTCATCTGTACTAAAAATGCTGTTTCCTTGCCAAATGAAAGGCAGTGCATGTTCCAGATACAGAATGTAGACAGTTCTTGCAGCGATAATCGCTGCTGCCTGGAAAGCAGAAATGGTTGTGCAGGTGCTCTTTTGTTCCCCGTGAAAGAAAGTGATTTTGCAGGTGGAAGAAGGTTGGGTAGTCGTTCCCTCTGCAAGCACTTTGCCAAGCAGGGTGAACCATAATGCTCCACCTTCTTAACACAGATTTTAATAAATAAGTTGATATGGGAAAGACCTGCAACTGCCATTCAAGCTAGTGTTTGAGACTTCTGCTCCACTGCTATTCTTCTTCCTGAAGAATTGCAGTTTTTGAGTATGATGACAGCTGCACGAAAGTGAATAATCGACATGTCAGATTTGTTGGAAGATGCAGAAGCTTTGGCTGTCAGCCATTACTTCAGAGAGAGTTTTTCCTGAGAAGTGTGTGTACGTTTTATGAAATGGAATTTACCTGGTTATGTTTAATAGTTGGGTCTGTTTTGGGTGACTGATTACGCACTCCAAAATTTTCAGGTTATGCTACTGATGGGCTGCTTTATCAGCTTCTTCTAGAAGTTAACAGTGAAACTTATTGATACGTCAGTCATCAATGGGTTGTGTTTTGTTTTTATCCAAAGATTTTTTACTTTAGGCACTGTGTTGGCTTTCTCTTCTAAGTCATCTGCTAGATGTCTTGATACGACCTTGTTGGCTGCCCTCACACCAAGGGGAAGAAGGGGATGTTTCAGATCATGTTTGTTTTTTTTTAAATGGAGAATTTAAACAAGGTAGCTTAGGCAGCAAGTGCACTGGGTTCTTTTTCACTGACTGTCAAGGAAGACTTTCCTCAGTGAACTGGGATGTAGACATTCACTTGGAACCTTCAAAACATGCATGGTTGGATTCCTCTGAACTTCCTTTTAAGGTATGGAAAATACTTCTGAAAATGCATTGTTCACGTGCAATGAATGCCACTACAAAATTCAGCCCTGTTCAGCAACAGTGGTGAGTAACTTAAGTCTTAAAACTCAGCATCATGTCTTGAAACATCTTAGTGTAAAGAAATAGGCATTAAATTTTGTTTTGCTGTTTGCATTTCTTACGTGGTGCTGCTTGGTATGCAGGTGATATTTTACAGAGTTCTGAGATAGACATTGCTTATAAACATGCGAGTTAGGTGGGCTGAGATGGTGATCATTCCTGTCTGTCCTTCTCTGAATGTCAGGCTATGAGGCTGAGCTATTGAAACTTCCCTGCTGAGTTAATGGAGCATTCTTATTCCAGCTGGACGCTGAGCTCCACGGAGCAACAGCTTAATGGCTGTATCCACCTTTGCTTTAGTCCTTCCTGTTTTTCTGAATTTCTCAATTGAAATACTGGGGCTTTGTTTTACCTCAAAACTGAGTTGTTAAGTAGGAGGCTTCATCATCATAGATTCTGGGGGGAAAAAAATCCAGTAATATTTAGGCTCTTCAAGGCTGGTAGCTACTCTTAATTCTTAGTGCTCTGAGAAAAGCAACAGCAGTCTTGCACTGTGGCAGACACTGCACGTGTCTTCTGTTGCATAGTGTACCTCTTTCAGCCTTTGATCTTGGGATTTATCTAAGCCTCCTGTTCTTTTCTTTGATAATCTGTTGCTTTTTTTGTCGACCTCAAGTAGGAGCTATCTAAACGTAACCCATGATCATTTCTGTGCAGTCTAGTTGCTTTCTGTACCCTGTATTTTGCGATGTTTTGTGCTCTAACAAAAGTATCTGCTTTTATTTAATGCAAATAAAACGCATTTTTTGCATAACATTCTATAAGCTTGTTTGGTGGTTTAAAAAAAGCTCAATTTACAGCCAGTACTTCCTTGCAATCTTGTCTTACTTCTGAGGTTTGTTTCCTCTTAGTGTCCTCTTGTGGTTTTACTTGGGAGGTGTAGTTGACATAAAACACCGATGGCTGGAAGTGATGGGAGTTTGGACACAGGGTTAGGTGTGGCATGTGGATGGCTCTTCATATTTAGGAAGGGAAGGAATTTCTTGCTTATGAGAAGTCAGATCTGATGCGTTAGGTTATTTTAGTGCAGATGATGTACTGCTCTCTCAGGTGCTGACAGTCCACTTTGATGTATCAGGGGGATTAATCTCAGTATGTAGTTCTTAAGGGAATATACCATCTCTTATTCAGGAACAACTCTTTTTTTCAAGTACTGCCTACCCTTCAGAGAAAGTCTGTGTTCTGCTGTTTGGTGTGAAGAAGAGAATGCCTTGACTCCCTTTGGTTCTTCATGGATAGACAAAAATTTCTGAAAACAATCTTATTTTCTCCCCAAAAATAGTTAGCTTCCAAAATGGAGCTTGGAATAACTTGCTACCAAAGATGGCTGCACAGAGGAATCAGTGTTGTTGTTCACATGCAGAGATGGGGAGATAACACTGATGTTTGAATCACCGTGAACGAGACATAATGTGCTGACGTTTGCCTGAGCTCATGACAAGAATGAAGCTGGGTTATGATTGTGCATTGAAAACAGTCAGATCAGGTCCTCCTGCCTGCTGAAATGATGCTGTGCTGTTAGTTGGGTTTTTTTTTTCCTTCTTTTTCTGGTGAAAACAGGCTTCAGACCACCAAAAATGAAAGTGTCATCAACCTTAACTGCTTATTTCAATCTCCTTATATAGGCAGCTGAACCCTTTTGGGGGGACAAGTAGCTGTAAGTTGGCAGTGGAAAACTCGACTGTGTGAAGCAGAAAGCTTGGCTGTGTGGGTTTTCTGGATATGCGTAATTCTGTCTCCATGCTCAGGAAAGCTGGGGGACAGATGCCAGCAAAATCTTATCCTAGAAATGGAGGAAAAAAAAAAAAAAAAGAGAACTGAGATAAGTGTGTAGGATGTTGTGGGGTTTTGGTTTTTTTCCCCCTCCAATGACATGATGTAGAAATTAGGATTAGAGAACCCAGGAAGGGTGCACAGTCAAACTGTGGGCAGAGCGATGCAGCCAGATGTTGGCAAGTATCCTGAAAATGGCTGTTACAGTTCATTTTCATGCTTTGTACATAACCAGGCATCTCTAATAGTTGCACTGATGGGGTTTTTTTCCAAGCATAACAGACCCAAGGAGACTTACAGAGGTGCTGTGAGGAAGCTGTGGGTGCTGGTGTACAAGGGCTGTTTGATTTAGCTTGCGGCTATGGAGCACAATTCCTTAGTTATACAGGATGAAGTCTTTTGGGAAACAAGAAGGGCAGAAGGCTTGGGAGTGACCTGAAGAAAGGAAATGCAGCAGAAGTTGGTTCCCTGATAGAGAATTGACGATATGTATTTGTGAGAAAGCGTCATTGAATTTGTAATTCAAAGCAGATTTTTTTCTTCAGTCAAGTAGTTAGTGGGATGCTGTAGATACAGAAGAGCTGAGCATTTTTTCCATATAAAGCAGTCTCTTACATGGGTACGAGGATGACTTCAATTTTTAGTACTGTTCAAAAACTTGAGAGGATTTAGTGCTTTTGGAGGCTGTTTGTTTGAAAGCTGTTGAAGAACATCCTGAAGTGTGCAACTTAGCAGCTATGGATCTGGCTGCCTTGGGCACTAGGACTTGAGGGCGGCTGCAGGAAGGTGAACAGTGTGTAGTCTCTTGCTGCAAAAGATCAGGAGTGATTTCTGAGGGAGAGGTGAGGGGATGGGGGAAGATGCCTATTAAGTATGCAACCTTTTAAAAGGAAAATAAACCAAGATAATCTCTTGCATACATACTAGTAATGATGGATATATTATATATATATTTCTGCAGAATCCTTCTGTTATCTCAAGAAATCATAAACTGTTATCCTTAATGCTGTTTTAATTTAGAAATGTGTGCTTGGATGGCTGGAAATATCTGGTGCTTCAAAGCAAGGAAGAGATGCATCAGTTTCCAGATTTCTTTAGTTCAGACCTTCCTTGGTATTTATAATGGACCCGTAACATTTTGTCTTTGAAGAGTTTCAATGAACTGAGCAGATGTGTGACAGTCAGCTCTGGTGTGCCCCAAATGAAACTGCATAACCCAGAGAGCTGAGAAGGTGGGGATGCTGTGTGTGGGGATTAGTGCATGCTGTCTGAAGGAGGAGTGTGGAGTGTCTTCAGCCCCAAGGCTGTGGTGCTGTGGGCCGTGACTCAAGCGATTGCAGGACATTCCATTAACAAATGAGTCAGTCTGTGCTCTAAGCATTATGCAGGTAAGAGCAGTTGCCCAAGGAAAGGAGTCCCGAAGAACAAAGATCTAATGAGGGCCTCTTAAAGCTGCCTTTACTGTTGCACAAAGGACACCGACAGTGGCCTAAACCCAGTGGCTGTGTGAATTATCCTTGCTGTTGCACCTTTAGGAATCTGTTTAGTGGTCATTAATCTTAGTACTTGTAATCAAGGGGGGGGGGGAAAGAAGTATTTTAAAGATACCGTGCTTTTTAACTTGTATTCATCATTTGCTCAGAAACGTGACTTTTCTTAAAGTAAAGGTACTTAACTCAAGCAACTTCAGATACACACAGAATGGGATTTTACATATGTTGGACAGAAATAAGAGAATCAAGCCACGACCGGAGAGGTTCCAGAACTGCAAAGACGTTTTTGATTTGATCCTAACGTGTGAAGAAAGAGTCTATGATCAAGTAGTAGAAGGTAAGGACCCTGAGCTGATAAACGGGGTTAACTTTGAGTGCTTGTCTCCCTTGAACCCCTGCCAGCATCCTTCACAAGCCTGGGAACATCTGCTTTGCTGGAGCACCAGCATGGAGAAATGCTCACATGGATGGCATGTGCCAGGGAAGCGGCAACTGGAAGTGCTGGATGCAGACTGGAGCTTGGGGTGCCTTTTACATTCGAAGGCCACCCAACTACATCCCTATTGTACACGCAGTGACTGCTGCCTGTCTCCTCAGTCCTTGTTGATCATGTTGCAATGAGTGTAGAGCGCCCAACATTTGTGCTGCTGCAAGCTGAGCAATTTAGTGTCCTGAGTGCTTCAATGTAGCGTTTGAGAGGGATTGGTGAGTTACATGGGAAGTGCCTTAAGTTACATGGGATTGTAGGGGTGGATCTCCAGCTAAGATCAGCGTCTCCAATGGAAAGCAGCTGTTCTATGGCAGTGCTCTGAGGTAGGAGCATAGGTGAAGAGCAACCGCTCGCCAACCTCTCATGTTACGATAATGCTCTTTGTAACTGACCAGTGGCAGGAAGAAATCTAAAGAGCCATTTGGAAGCGCCTGATACGCAAAGGCGGCTCTTCAAAATGGCGGCTCTTCAAAATGGCAGCATCTCAAAATGGCGGCTCTTCAAAATGGCGGCACCTCAAAATGGCAGCCTCAGCAGGCACTGCTGAGCTGCACAGGGTTAGGAGAGAAACTGGGAACTTGAACTGTCAGGAGCCTTCCACAATCTGAATTCTTTGATTTCCCAAATCTGCCTCTTTTGAAATAAGACCGTGTTTGTTGTTTGTTTTTTTTCCTATCTAAAAAAAGCTAAATAAACCATTTTCTTATGAATACTGTGTAAAGCTCGATTTCATTCCACCCAACATTTTGCTGTTGTGTGTTTTGTTTTCAACTAGACTTAAATTCCAGAGAGCAAGAGACATGTCAGCCAGTGCATGTGATCAATGTGGACATTCAGGATAACCATGAGGAGGCAACGCTGGGTGCCTTCCTTATCTGTGAGCTCTGCCAGTGTGTAAGTAGAGAGGGCTCGTTGCCTTGGGTTCGTGTGACCCGACTGACTGCACAGGGGTCGGGGGTTGTATTCCTTAAAAGTGATGCAAATGGCAGAAATGAAGTGAAATTTATGTCAAGAGACCTAACTTAGCAAATCATTGCAGTTATTTTTGGAGCTGTTGGGCAAGCAGATGAATTGCGATGGAGCTGATGATTTGTGAAGTGAACAGTGCGTTTGTTCAAGACCAGTGTTAGCTGCCACAAAAAGCAGCATCTCAGAGCACTGGACTCGTTGGGCCCATGTTCACAACATTTGTTCATGGCTAAAATGTCTGTTTCTGAGACAGTTGTAACATGTGGGATTTAAACAGCAGAGCTGCGTTCTGAATCACTGTGTGCTTGAAAAGCATCCTGTGTAGGTGTATTTCATAGTGCCACCCTGTTGTGTGTATGATGTGGAAAACCTGGTGCCTCCTGTCTTCCACCTTCGATGTTCTTGGCCCTGCCTGTTGGAAGAAGGCTGGAAACAGTTGATGCAACTATCAAGAGAACAAAGGCTCTGTTTCACAACATGCAAGCCTGGTTACCTATTCTGGTGTGGCAACACATATATATATATTTTTTTACTCCTGCCTCTGTGATCTATTCTGGTCTCAAATACTTGCATCCTTTCCAGATCCAAAAATCCTAAGAGAATCCAAGGGACTTGAAATTTTAGCCATCTGTTCAGAGTGCTTGTAGCTGTTGTGAAGCTTCCATTTGTTACCCAGTGAGGATGGATGTTGCCTACTCAACAAAGGGCTCCTTCAGTGCCAGCTCAGTGGGTTGCAGAAGGAAGGTTGTGCAGATGAACACGATGCAGAGCACGTGTGGGTTTGGGAATGTTGGGAATCTCATTAAAGCACCCAGTGCTGCACAGTTGGGTGCTGCATGCTGATTTAGGTTTCACAGTGAGCCAAAAACGTCGAGTCGTTACCATTCTCTTAACTGCATTGTATCCTTGGAGCCTGGTTAATTAGTGTTCTTTTTTTTCTCATTTAGATACAGCACACAGAAGACATGGAAAATGAAATAGATGAGCTGTTACAGGAATTTGAAGAGAAAAGTGGAAGGACTTTTCTTCATACTGTCTGCTTTTATTAAAGCACATCTGTCTCCTAGGCCTTAATACAGATGAGAGAAGCATGTGTTTAAAGTTCTGATTATACTGTATTTTCCTGGAAAATGAATATTGATTTGTTTTGTTTTGTTCAAGACTCCTCTTCAGTGGTTGTTTTGGTTTCAGGTATTCTGTCACAGGCAGGCAGAGATACCAGTTGAATTGTACATATGCAAAGTATGCACAAAGGCCACCTATTTAAAAATGAAAATCAAGATTTCCTTTAAATCCTACTTCAATTGTTACGAGTAGGCTTTTAATTATAAAGAGAGTATTTCTTGAATATAAGTTTATAATGTATTTTTCCAGCTTAAAAGTTTATTTTATTTCAGTTGTGCTTTCTTTTTTTTTTTATTATTTTAATGTGACAGAATGGCTGAACTATGTGAAGATATGAATGGAGCGATGACAAATGAGTTATCTGTATATTATTAGATATAAGATTGGAAGCATCCAATAAAAATGAAAAACCTGCAAGTCTGTCTGTTTCTGAAATAGAAGCCAGGCAAGCTGTGAGTGCTCTGCAAGGTCTGGACGGGAGCTGGAAGAGCTGCTCTGGCCCTGGCTTGGAGGCACTGGTGTTTGGGCACATTCCCTTGGTGGTTGATCCTGTGTTGAACCCAACCCAACTGCTTTCTCCACGTGAATTTGGGCACCTCCACTAAATCTTTTTCGGGTCTTCATTGCTTTTGAATGACTGTATGTGAGACTGAAATATAAGGGTGGAACTGTAGCTGTCAGGGCCCAACTGTATATATGTCTTCTATAAGGAGGAAGGGGAGAAACTGCAAACTCCGCTGTTAATAGAAATGGTTTGAAGCTTTGTTAACTGAAATGTCTTTGAATGGAAATATTCTCTGCACATACAGCAATAATAAACGTGTTTGTCACAGCCTGCAATCCAGATGCTGACTATGTACATGTGAGCAGAGCAAAAGCTCTTTGTGCAAACCGGTAGGAATTAAAAGCACCAGCTTAAAAGTGAAGACAGACCAAATTATAGACGTTTCCAATGCGAGTGGTAAATCGCTGTTGCTTAAAGGCAAGAGGAGATCTTAAAAGCTGTTTTGTTAAAGGAAGCCGTGAAGGATTTGGAGCAAGTGAAGTCTGTGTGCTCTTTAGTGCTTTGAGAAGTGGAGACAACTTAAATGTGCCAGAAGTGAAGTGGCATGAAATGGAGCTTGGGCTCCTGGCTTCACGCCTGCCTTCTCACTGCCCTCTGGCAGCTCAAGGGAAGGCTCAGTGCTTTGGAAAGATGCTGATTTCCCTGTGCCTGAAGCCAATGCTGGGGGTTGGCTCTGATTTTTAGGGTGATGCTGCTCTTTGAAGTTGCTCGTCTCAAAGTCAGTTGATCCCAAAGGGATCCTGGGCATCCCTGCCCATTCCTTTCAGCCACCCTATGAGAAAGCCACAACCTGCTGGCTCACTCAGCGTTCTGGCCAGTGCCCAAATGGGTCAGAGCATCGTGCACGGGGTGCAGGAATGTTTTGTATCCCTCAAACACTTGCGCTGCTTTTCTTAGCTATGAAAAAAGAAAGAGGAAAAATCCTGCAGAAAATGAATGAAGAGAGCAGAATGCTTTGGGATGGGGAGTTGAAGCAGCAGCTCCCATACAGTTTGCAGGGTGGGTTTGTATGGGTTTGTCCTGTGCTGGTTTGTTTCAGGAGGCTCTGAGAAGGATTTCATTCAGCCTCCTCTGCTTTTCTGCTCCGTTGTCTGATGCCACAGCTTGTTGCCATGGGGATCCATACAGCCCGGGGAGGAGAAGGGTTCTGTAGGGACTGAACTGCTTCAGTTGATCCCTTTAAAGATGTATTTCAAGCAAGCATGGTGCTGAGTGTCTGGAGCAGAGTTCTCTGTGCGGCATCAGGACTGAAGCCTTCGCTCTTTGTTTCTGTGTCTGTAAATGTTCTCTATTTTCAGCTGAACTCATTCTATACAGAGCTCTTTGGGTTGTGCCTGCTGGGCACAATGCGCTTCTTGGTTTGGTTGATAGGAGATTTCTACTCTGAAAGAGAGCTTTCAGCTCTGCTCTGCTTTCCCATCGGGTCGGAACTGGATGATCTTTAAGGTCCCATCCAACCCCAAGCCATTTTTATGAGTCGATTCTGCTTTTCTTTCACCCAGGTGATGCTGTTGGGCTGTGTGTGGTGCAGGACAGCCCTTCCTCAGCCCTCAGTGTTGCTGGATGCACCAAGCTGAGGATCAATGAGTTACAGCCCAGCTAGGCAGACTATCCAGCTCCAACTTTTATTTCTATTGCACGTGGGAACTGAGGTGAAGGTGTTGGGAAAACAAGTGCTGGGACCAGCATGGGAGCACTGAAAGGAATGGGAATGCCTGGAGTCCCATCTCCCACTGTTGGGTGCTGAGCCTTGGGAGATTCTGTACCATGGGTGGGAGCAAAGCTGGGTGTAATGGGGTCTGTGCATGGAGAGCCTGGCTTAGCAAATGCTTCACATGTGTGGTTTCATTACAAAAAAAAAAAATCATCTGCAATGCAATCTGTGCTCTAATTTGAGGGCACCGTTTAGTGATTTTAATTGTGTGACAGTATTTTAGTATTTCCAATGCCCAGTAGTAGGTTAATGACTGTTCCTTGAAGAATGGAGTTTATATAACACAAGTCATTACATAAGGAGGCTGATCGTGGCCTGGGGAGCTGAAGGAAAACAAAAGATGCAAGAATGCAAACCCTCGAAGCAGCAAACGGTGGCCCCGAGTGCCAACAAGGTGATGATAACCTTGAGTGATGTGCTGTGGCTGCTGCCCATCCCTATCGCATGGTTTAACGGCACGACCGACCAAGCCAAACAAAAGTTGTTACCTGTTCACCGAGCTATTTTTTTGCAGGACGAACCCAAACGTGGCCCACAGCTCGACGATGTAAAACCATGCGAGAATCCAGAGCACGACCTTCCCTCGGATCGTGGGCTCGAGAGATGCTAGGATGTGGGACTTCGTGGCGTTTCTGCTCACCCGCATCGGCGCGGGGTGGGAATGCGGAGATGCGGGGCCGGGCCGGGACCCCCGCGGCTGCGGGGCGGCAGGGAGAGCATCGGGACCGCGTTCGGGCCGGGATGGGAGCGGGGAAGACCCGGGAGGGAGGAAGGGCGGGGTGGGGATGGTGCGGGACTGGAAATGCGGCCAAGCGCCGCTGCCGGGGCTCCGCTCGGGAAAACCGTGCGGCTGCCAGGCGGGGGGAAGCCCGGCAAGGGCAGGTCTGCAGCGCTGCCGCTCGAGATGAGCCGCTCCCGGAGCAGCGCGTCCCCGCCTTAGGTAAAGGGCCGCGGATGGGAGGGAGGGAAGGAGGGGAGGGAGCAGGGGAGGGGGCGGCCGGCCCGGCGGGGAGCAGCCCCCCACAGCCCGCCCAGCCGGAGCCGGAGCCCGAGGGGCTGCGGGCATTGCCCCGGGGCGGGAGGGGGGGAGGGGGGGAACAGCGGAGGGGGAGGACGGGGGGGGGAGGCGTGTTGTTTTTTGGGTGGATTTTTTTTTTTTTTTTTTTTTTTTTTTTTTTTGTGCCGATCGGGAGAGGTTGATTTTGGGGAGGGTCGGGAGAGAGGATGCAATGAGGCTCCCCCGGACTGGGTGATTTTTGTGGCTTGCCTCCTCCTCCCCCAGCCTCCCCCCGGCCTCGGCTGGCTCACTCTCCAGTTGCTGCATGCGGGGCTGTGCCGTGTGCCCGCTCCCGGAGCCGCCGTGGCGCACCTCCATCGGCCGACAGCCTTGAAGGGAACGCATTTTTTAGAGTATTCATCCCATTTTTAAGAGATATATATATATTATTTTTATCCTTACCTGTCACCTTCGTCTTAGGAAAAAAAAAAATAATAATAATATCTATCTACAAAATAACAACATAACCCTCCCCCAGCGGGCAGCCCGAGGCGCCCGGCACGGGGCAGTGCGGGTGTGAGCGCGGGGGGCGCCCCGCCGCCCCACCGCCCCCCGCCGCAGCGCAGCGCGATGCGCTCCGGGCTCCGCGCTGCGCAATAGCGCGGCCGCCGCTCGCAGATCGCGGGCTGGGGGCGGCCGGAGCCGATCGCTACCGATTCCCCGTTGATGTCCATGAATGCAAACACCATGATTTTCATGATCCTGGGCGCCTCTATCGTTATGGTAAGAGATTTTGCTTATTTCCCTCCCCTCCATTCCACCTCCCCCCCTTCCCCCCCCCCCCCAACCTCCCCTTTTTCCCTTCCCCGGCCCCGCGCGTCCCTGTGTGCTCGGTGTGTGTGTGTGCACGGTGTGTCTGCCCCGGGGAACACCAGCGATTATCTTCTATATGACCGCTTCAGTCTTTGGCAATCAAACTGGAGTCAATGTTTTATTCCATCATCCAGAGTTGACCAGATGCCTTGGTTATGGGCTCTTACAGGCAATAGCTTGCTTGATGGACATGAATGCGTTGCTGGACAGATTTCACAATTACATCCTACCGCATCTGAGAGGGGAAGACCGAGTTTGTCACTGCAACTGTGGCAGGTGAGTTAACCTGCGACGCCGGGCTCACCTGACCCAGCCCCTTCCACCCCACCTGGCTGGAGGAGGCCCTGTCTGCATTCTGGCCGTGTCTCAGCATCAACATGGGGGGGAGGGGGAAGGGTAGGTTTGTTTTTCTGCGAGAAGAGTTTGCCGTGGGCCTGCAAGTCCATTTTCCTTTGTGTGCATGCGTGTGTGCAGGCATCCGGCAGCCCTGGGGAGGAAAGGAACTTGGATTGAATTCCAACACTCCGTGTTTTGCCTTCGCAGACACTGGGCTGTGTGCTTTCCCTGGGGAGAAAGGGGGGGGGAGTTGTAGGCTGGATGCTGGTGAGGATGGAAGGGGTCGGGGTCTGGGCAGCCCTGCACCCAGGATGGAGTGCTGCTGCTGCTGAGGACGGTGTCACTTTGAGGCTCTGTGATTGTCAGTCAGCTTCCAATTCTCAGTGGCTTTTCTCCGGAGCCATCATGGTGCTGCACGGAGCACAGGCCTGGCGCTGGGGGACTTTGGGTGATGTCTTTGCTGCTTGCAAGTTTAGGGCTGCACAGTTTCCTGCCATGGCTGTTGGGCAGCGCTCGGTTCCCCCAAATGCAGCTCCTTGTTCCATGGGTGATGCTGAGGAACTGAGCTTTGGCTGTGGAGGTGAATTTTGCTTTTCTCCATGATCCATGTCCTGCAGCCCTGGCCACTGCTACCCCAGTCCACTTCCTCTGTCCTCCCAACCACTGCTTTCCTCTGGTGGCCCTGGATGGGAGCTGAGCAAACCTTCACACCTTGGGGTGTGCAAACCTTATCCAAAGCCACTGCTCATCCCATCCACCCTGCTTCGACCTATGGTTCCAGTAGCAGAACAGCAAGGAGGTACCTCCAGGGCTGAGCAGAGCCAGGCCAGAGCGATCTGAGAGCAGACCCCACACCCTGGCTCCTTGGGCACAACTTCACTACTGCCAGTTGGGAAGCAACGTCTATAGCGCCTTTCATTCTATTTGTCAGGGATTCTTTCTCTTGGGTAATTTTTTTGGAGACTTCTTGATGTTTTTTGCTTGTTTAAGAATCGTCCTCTGCCTCTTCAATCCGTTTTTGCTTGCCATGCCTGCATGCAGTGGTGGTGAAAATCAGCTGTTGGTAATGTACTTAAACACTGCCAGGTCCTGCTGGTGTCAGTGGCCGCGTTCCTTCTGCCCAAGCCCAAGGAGGGGGCAGGGCTGCAGATGGATGGGCCATGGCTCTGTCCTCAGATGGAGTCAGGTCATTTCTTAGAAAGTGTACAGCACAGCTTCCAAACTGTCAAGATGACAGGGAGCGAAAGGTGGAAGTTCACTGGTTGCCTTAGGTACGTGCAAGAGATGGATCTTGCCAACAAAACACAAAGCTGCCTTCACTCCTGAGTGAGGGTTTTTGTGCCCTGCGCTCCCTCTGGTTCAAGGGGTGGATGATGAAATGTGCCTCATGCTCTTTGCAGCTGCTTTCTGGGCTCAGCCCCGTGCACACAGCTGTGGCCCAGGCAGGGCATACCCTGGAGCTATGAAAGGTGGCATCTGGTCCTGGCAAAAGGCTCTGACTGTGCTGGTAACAAAAGGGAGCCTTGGAGAGAGGAACTGCCTGCAGTTCAGCGTGCAAGACTAAGGGAAGAGCTCAGGCTTCAGCTCCTGGCTGCCCTGTCCTGGGTTGCCTCGTTGGGGTCTCATGGTTGCATGGCTGGTGGGGAAGGGATGTGCCAACCCCTGTGCCTCTCTGTGATGGCCCATGCCTTGCATGGAGGTCCCAGGGCAGGTGAAAGGAGCGTGCTCTGCCTGCTGTCTCCTAAAACACCTTCTGCTAACGCTTGCCCTGTGGAGCTCTTGTCTCCTGCAGCTGAAGACTCTGCTCTGGTTTCCATGTTCCTGAGCACTGGCTGTGAGTAAGGAGAGTTGCTAGGGTTGAGAATTTTGGGGAAACAAAGCGGCCCATTGCTAGGGGCTGCTGAACCCTGACTATGCAGGGCTGCTTCAGACCAAAGCTCTTGGCACTTGATGGCAGAAGCAAGGTAGCAGTGCAGTGGGAGAAGTGTGATGTGGCCATGCTGGGTGCTTTTTAGGTTTGTTTGTCAGTAGGGAGCTGTGGCCACAGGAGGTCAGAGAGAGGTTTTGTGGTGCCAAGCATTCAGTGACTGCCACGGCTGCTTCATGGCCTTTCTCTTCTGGGACAGGTGGCCATATCTGAATTGCACTGATGGCTGTTTGGTGGGGGAGCAGAGGGCAGAGTCCTGCCAGTTGGGTGGGAAGGAAGCTGGTGTAATGATGGTGGATGGAGGGACAGCATCAGCAGAGCAGCAGGGTTGGCCCTGGCACCTGGAGATGTGGGCTGCTCCTCTCTCAGCATCTGCCTTCTTGCAGGAGGTAGAAGGGCTGAGAGCTACGTCTGAGAGCTCCTGCTGATGGCAGTGCAGGAATGTTGCTGCTGGATTGGATCCCTGGCACCCTCCGGCTCCAATATGGAAGTTATCCAGGCTGTCCACAGCCCCTCTGGTCCCCCTCCTTGGGCTGTCCCTGCTGCAGGAGACACAGGGCTGTGTAGGGCTGCAGAAACAAAGCACTGCCCCACTCCAGGTGCCTCTGTCCCAGCCAGGAAAGGGTCCTCTCTGGAAGCAGCAGGCTGGCAGCAGATCAGGAGCTGGGTGATGTCATGCAAAGGAAAATCACCAAAGGGCGTCCGTGGCGGCTGGGTGAGCTGGGGAGAGCAGATGACACCTGCATGGAGCACAGACCCATCAAAACAGCCCGGGGGCTCTGGAGTTTCCTGCCTGGGACAGGATGAGGAGCTCAGAAGCTCTGGTTGTGGTCTTCTCCTTGGCACCGACCTTCTGGGTGACCTTGGGTGAGTTTGTCCCTCCCAAGCAAAGATGCTGTGGCAAAAGCCAAGCACCAAAACCCATCATTTTTGCTCCGTTTCTTCCTTTTTTAACACTCTGAACAAATCCTTAATCCTCCATGCCTCCATACCCTCTGTGAACACACTGGGAGGCCAGGGATGCTCACTGTGCTGGAGACCACCAGGCCTTCCCTGGGCTCCCAGCAGCTGCTATAGCATGGAAGGTCCCAGGAAGACATTTTCACCATTGCAATGGAGCCATCCCTGTTGCTGCAGCCCAGCTTTGCTGGCCATGGCTGTGCCAGGAGCTGAGCTGCTTGGCACGTTTGGGGAGAGGCTGCAAGGTCAGGCAGAGATGCAGAACAGAGGCTCTGCGCCTCCTGCAGCCCCTGGGATCGGTGCACCTCAGTGCCCATCCTGGGGCTGTCCAGCAGCACAGGATAAGCTTTGTTCTCCCAAATCCTAAACAGCAGTGCTTTTTGAAGGGCTCCGGTGCTGTGGCTGGGCTGCAGCAGCCAGCAGGCTCACAAGGTCACTGGAAGGGACATTAGCGCTTTGGGCAGCTCCGTAGGGAGCATCCCAGGCGTGCTGGCCACAGCTCTGCTCCATCACGGCTGCACTCAGGGCTTCATGCATGGTTTGCTAAGGGGGGGGGAGATCTGTCCCCATCACAGGGCTGGGAAGGGGCAGGAGTGCTTGAGCCTGTTGTGCCACTGTCTCATCTCAGCTGGTGCTGCCTTGCTGGGGACAAAGCAGTGAATGCAATCCCTGCTTGCTTCAGGGGTGCAGGACTTGGTGCTCACCAACAGGACCTCACAAGTTCTTTGCTGCTTGGTACCACCAGTGGCTGCACGTGGCTGTGTTTCTGGGCACAAGGCTTGGCCTCTGGCATGGAGGCTCAGAGGTGATGCCTTCCCTCCCTGGATCTGGCTCCCAGAGCCATTCAGGCCACGTTCCAATTTCCAGTTCCCTAGGGCTGCAGTGGGGACCCAGGACCTCTGCATTCTATTAATAATTCTCCATACTGATGTGCTGATGCCTCCAAATTTCTTCAGCCATGTTCCCAAGGGCTTGAGCTGCCACCAGAAGGCTTTCAGGGGGCAGCCCCTCTTTCCCACCCCATCCCAGAGGCTCCACTCTGTACTGCTAAGCCAAACCAAAGCAGGAAAGTGCCAACAACTCTCCCAGGCTTTGCCCTTTTTGGGACACACTGAGCCCACATGAGTCTCTGTTTGGCCCTCATGAAGACAAGGGCTGTTTTCACTGGGATCCTGCGAGCGGAGCATCACTCGTGACACTATTTGGACATTTTCTCTCCATCAACCTGCATATGCAACCCAAATATGCAACTGGTGCATCCTCAGAGGCATGGCTGACCTCTGAACTCAGGGAGCGACCGCCGCAGCCCCGAATGTTGTTTATTGCATTACAGATGATGAGTTCAAGCAAGGGCAGCCTGTGTCAGCAATGCGACATGAGCTCTGGGCTGCAGGGTGCTGTGCTTTGCTCTTTGTATTCCTGGTTTTGAGCCCAGCAGTGTCGGTAGGGCTTCAGAGCCCCTGGCCATGGAAACAGATGCTGGTGGAAAACACGCCCTGCTCTTCTCCACTGATGCTTCTCCCCATTTCTGTTCCCCACGACAGGCACCACGTCCATTACGTCATTCCGTATGACGGGGATCAGTCTGTGGTGGATTCCTCAGAGAACTACTTTGTGACTGACAATGTAACCAAGCAAGAGATTGATCTGATGCTGGGACTGTTGCTGGGTTTTTGTATCAGCTGGTTTCTGGTGTGGATGGATGGGGTTCTCCACTACGCTGTGCGAGCCTGGAGAACCAGCCGGCGGTACGGTAAGTGTGGCCCTCAGCACATCCTTGGGCCAGATGGTGGGCTCTGGTGGCTCCATGTTGGCCATTGCCATGTCTATGCATGGAGATGAGGGCTCTGCTCCGGGTGCTGGCTGTGTGTCTGAGCAGAGTACTGATGAAATCTGGGTTTCTTTGCACCCCTGGTTTGCAGCCGGGAGCCTCGCATTGGTTGCAGGCTCAGGTACAGCCTGCATGGCTTTGGCACGCTGGCTTTCTGTGCTGCACTGCAGGAATGGAGCTGCTCCTTTAGGTGAGGGTGTTGTAGCACTGGCTGCCCAGGGAGGCTGTGCAGCCTCCATCCTTGGAGATGTCCAGGAGCCACCTGGCTGAGCTCCCGGTGCCCTTCTGGAGCAGGGTCCTTCCAAGTGAAGCAGAGGGCCCTGCCTGCAGGGCTGCAGTGCAGATGAGGCAGGAGAGCTCAGGTCTCGGCATCTCTGTAATATCACCCTTCTCCTTTCTGCCTTCCAGACAATTCCTGGTCTTGGATTCCAAAGTTTTGTAACTTAAAGGAGTTCAGAAAACGTCACCACAGGCAGTACGAGGAGGCGACTGGGAACATGGTGCACATCAAACAGAAGCTGTACCATAACGGGCATCCCAGCCCGCGGCACCTCTGAGGAACGCCTTCCCCTCCAGAGACTGCAGTGAGGTTTTAAAGAGGACTTTGCTCTTCTTCCGGGGGAACAGCTCCTACTTTTACATCTCTCTGGAAGCCAGCGAGGACATCATTTTACTTCTCCATCCCGTGTGTCCCCTGTGGCACACCATGATGCACAACTAAGCCAGTCCTGGATGCTACGCAGCCAAGACATTGCACTGTGTTCCACGTTTTATTGTCAGACTTGTGTACATATGTAAAAAAAACCAAACACCAAACAAACCAAAATCAGACAAAAACAACAAGAAAAAAAAACAAAACAAAACGAGAAAAGAGATTTGCATTATACTTTCAACCCCCCCTTTTCCTGGCATTCACAGCTGTCCTGCACATCCAGCTGCCCTGCAGGGAATGTTGGCTGAGGGTATGGAGGTGGGAGCACATGAAGAAGATGCAGTTTCTCATCTGAGTGCTAGAAGTCCCCCGTTTCTTTGGTCCTTTGGTTTGGTTTTGCTCTTCTCTGTTACTTCTGTTGCTAGAATGGTAGTAGGTTTGGACAGGGGCTGCTGCCAGACAGATGGGAGGGCAGCGACCCTTTGCTTTGGTTTGTGTTTTTGGGCATTGCTGTGGGGGAAGGAACACGTGATGGATTTGTTCTTCGTGTTGCTGCACATTGAAACCTGCCTTAAGCGAGCTGAGAAATCTTCCTAGCAGGGCAGCAGCTCTGTGAGGGATCAGCCCAAGCGATGGGGCTGGTGCTGTTACTCCTCTCTGCTGTTGAGAGGGTGGAGAATGGATGGGGCTGAGAGGTGTTACACCTGGCTCGTACCCTGATCCATTGCACTGCAGTGAGCTGGGCTTGGCCTGAAACCAAACTCATCTCCCAAAGCAGATGCGACAGGAGGGGCTGAAGTCAAAGCAATGGATGCTCCCGTGGGGGTTTTTTTGGTTTTGCTTCTGCTGGGCACAGCTTAGGCTGTGGGTTTCAGTGTTGCTATGATGCGTCTGAAGCCTCACTCCATACCCAGAGACCTTCGTGTCCCGCAGAGCAGCCGGGAGCGATGCTCGTGGGCAGGGATGTGCTGGGCTGGGAGCTGTGCTGTGAGCCAGGGAGGAGCTGAGAACCGAAGGTGGTGGCCCTGCAGCTGCCGTTGCTCCTTCGTTCCTTCTTTCGTGGTGAGCAGGCTTGTGTTTATATGGGAAAATGTCCAGAACTAAAGGATGCTGAGTGGTAGCAGGACTGTTGTTTTTTTTTCTGTGGCTTCCTTGACTCTGTCAATGGCCTCCTATTGGTTGCAATGTCAGAGGAGGGAAAATGGCACCGTGACCCCCAGCTTTTCTCCTCCCAAACCTGGCTTCTCCACCTCACCTTTTGGTTGCTTCCTGTGCCCAGGCCCAGTTCTGTTATTTATGAGCCCCAAAACAGGCCAAGGGCCAGCCACAGCTGCTCTCCCCAGTTCCTACCTTTGCTGTCCCATACTGCCTCTTGTCTTGGAGTCCCAGTTTCTGTCAGGTCCTCAATAGTTGCCCAGTCTGTACTTGTGTCTGTCTGCTTGACGTCTGTCATTAGGGACTTCTGCGATGCCCACAGCCTCCTGTTAGCATCCGGGGAGCGACGTTTCTTTTCCAAGACATGAGGTTTTGCAGCCTCCTTTTTGTGCTTGCCCATAGGGGCACAGCCTCCAGGGACAGAAGATGCCCACCTCCATGGGCTCAGAGCCAGGGGGCAGCTGGCCAAGATCTGCTTGCCCTTGTGCTACTTCTGGCACATCAATTGAGCTGTAACGTAGAACAGGTGGGGACCATTCAGCTCTGAGTTGAAAAGGGGGGTGACATTTTGCAGGGCAGAAAGTTTCACTGGGATGAGGACAAATATTGAGCCTTTGGAATAAGTTAAGGGGGAAAATTAACAAATAAAGAAACAGCCTATTTTAAAATAAACATTCTGCTTGGTGCCTCTCACAAAAGGGATTTAAAGCAGCGATCTCAACTCAGAATTGAACCTACTGGCTTTGCCCTTCTCTGAAATTCGGCTTTGGTTTGAAATATTAATTGTGAACCTTGCAGCTGGAGAGGGTGAGGTGGCAGCTGATTGTCTGATCCACACTGGGATTTCAGGATTCTGTTAGGCTCTGGAAGACAAAAAACCAATCCTGCATGGTGCACATCCCCATGGCTTAAGAACAGAAGGTTTTCTAATCTGCTGTGGCTGCAGCAATCACCACGTGAGCTTCACTTCTGTTTACACACAGTCAAAACGTGAAACAAAAAAAGAAAATACTCTCAGAGCAATTAAATTCACTAGGAACAATTCTCTGCTCTTGAAGCCATGGGAAGCAGCCCCTCTCTCGCAGAGCAGGACACACAGAGCCAGCAGGGTTCTCATCCTTATTGGTTCTTATCCTTAATAAACAAGGGGCAAAGCTCTTCTCCATGCAGCAAGGCCACTATCCAGGAGACACGGTCTGTGCAAGGGCAATGCCAGGCAAGCTCAGCAGTTGGACTGGATGATCTTAGGGGTTCTTTTCCAACCTGAATGTGAGAGACACGAAGCTCCATGGTCCTGAGCTCAGCTGGCTCTTTTGAACCCAGGGAGCTCCTGTAGATGTGACCCTATGGGATGTGCCCATTGCTCCATGCTTGGGGTGGGCATTCCCAGCACTGCAGTTGCTCGTTGCTCTGTCCCTACGAGGCTGCTGCTGTTTGGCTGTTTGAAGTCTGCTGTTGCTCTGTCTTCTTTCCCTGTGCATGTGTTCGTTTTGCTTCTGTCTGGGTGTGGGGGTGTTTTCTCCTCGTTCATTGTCTGAGATGTACTACTGTTGACTTGTTTGTTGTTCTCTGATCCAGTCTTCCCCTCCTCCCCTCCAAAAAAAAAAATCCCCAAAACAACCAACAAAACCAAACCAGACCACAACAAAAACAACAACAACCCAAAACCCAGCAACAGCCCCTCGTGAAAAGGGTCTGGGTGGGGAGAAAAGCAGTGGTGGCATGGAGGAGCAATCACAACAGGGTCAGGGCACTGCAGAATAGATGATGTGGGGTGCAGAACTGGACAAGTAGTGGGAGTGTGCTCCGTGTCCCAGTGCTCGGCCACCAGATGCTCTGAGGGAGGTTCCTGCAGCATTTGGTGGTGGAGGAATGTTGTGCTGCCTCAGGAGGGCTTATTTTTAGAGCAGAGACAGCTCTGCAAACTGTGCTTGCTGATCCTCCAGAGCTGGGATTGGTGCTGGAAACGTTCTCCCCGAGAGAAGTACATTGAATCCAGCCTGTGCCAGCCCTCCTCTGTTCCTACCACGTCCCTTCTTTGTAGGAGAGCCATGTGCTAATGAAGGCCATCTTGTCCAGTTGCTTCCTATCTGGAATCACTGTGGCCATGTGCTGTAGGAGGCCCAGAAGGGAGCCCAGACCCACATCCCAAGTTTCACACCATGGCAGGGTGGTCTTGGTGGCTCTCACTGCTGTTCTCTACCTCATTTTCCAGTTGCACGCAGCTGGGAGAAGAGAATATCCAGTCCCAAATGATTCTAAAGAGCTGCTGAGATGGTGAAGGGAGCAGAGCATCTCCCAGGAGAAGAGAAGGCTATTAGGGGGATTTCACCCATCTGTATGAGTACTTGAAGGGAAGGAGCAAAGCGGACAGAGCCAGGCTCTTCCCAGCAGTGCCAGGGATGGGACACAGGCAATGGAGCATCAGGAAGCACTTTGTGCATGGTGTAGGTGCTGGAGTGCTGGCACAGGTTGCCCAGAGGTTGTGGAGTCTTCTCTTTGGAGGGAGAAGGATGAGGTCATCCTGCTCCAGGCAGCACTGCTTGAGCAGGGGCTGGGTCCAGAGGTCCCCCCTAGCCTCAACCATGTAGAGATTCTGCAAAACACAAAGCTGTGCGGAGGGTGATAGGGAGCTGAAGCTTCCCTTCAGCCCACGAGCCAGTATATTGGTTTGCAGGAGGCACGAGCAAACAGCAGGAGCCCTCACTTACCTTGGGTACCATCTTGGAGGGCACAGGCAGGAGAGCCCTCGGGCAGTCCCACTCCAATGCCACCCTTCCCAGCCCAACTTCTATGATGGGAGAGCTTCAAAGGTAGAAACAGCCAACAGAAGCTCCCAGAGCATCTCTAGAGGTGAAAGACCAGAAGTGCTTCCATTATCATTGAGCAGAAGGAGAAAGACCTTTGGACCAGAGTGCATTCACCTCGACTACGCTGGTGGAGCAGACGTGTCTTCCAGCGATAGGGCAGTGCACAGGAGAGCAGGGCAGTGCAGCACAGGAGGAACCTGCCGGGATTGCCCTGCAGTGAGGACACAAGGCAGACCCCAGGGTGCTGCTTTCCCTGATTGTTAATCCTTCCTTTTTTTTTTTTTCCTGCATTCAAACCCGTTCTGCATGCATCAGACAGGAGAGGTGCAACTTGAGTTGATAACAACGGTGGGAGAGATTACCCTCTGCTCCGAGTCCAAGCCCTGAGCAGTCCCTACTGTGGTTGAAAAGCAATAATGGCCAATTTTCTATTAAACACACCTGCCTGTGCAGATGGCATTAGGGCTGCTGTGCCCAAGCTGAGGGACATCTCGGAGCACGTGGTGGGGGAGGCAGCAGGAAAAGCACACTGTGATTTTATTTGGGTCAACGAGCGAGCCTAATTCAGCCATTCCTTCCCTTCCAGCGATATGTTTGTACAGTAGGTAACCAGTTCTGCTCCTGAAACTAAGCCCACCCTTTGCTGTTTGTCAGTAAAATATTCTTTTTGCATGTTTTGCATCCGAGTGGTTTTTCTCACCCCTCCCTCCCCATTCTCTTTGCACTGAGCGATGCTGCTGGGATCAGAGCGAGGCTGGATTGGGGTGGGGGAGGCAGCTGTGCTCAGCCCTGAGCTGGGAATGAGAGAAAGAGGGCCACGCCATTCCCAGCCTCTGCATCAGGGCTGGGTGGAGAGATGCTGAGCACAGCAGTTCGGTGACAAAGTAAACGCTGGGCAGGATGGCAGTGAGGACAGATAGATGACCAGGCTGTAAATCTGCCTCCCAGCTGTAACACAGAGCGCAGGGGAGGCGGTTCAGCTGGCGGCGGTGCGATGGGGAGTGATGGATCACTTGCTCATCCATCTGCTCTTGGATTTGCTCTCCAATACAAAACACTGTTTTAATAAAGTGCTATTAGCTCATAATTCACTCTGTGCCAGGGGATGAGAGATAACCTCAGCCTGGGGTTGCCATTCCATCTCCATCCCCTCATGGGTGCCACCTCCATAGGGACAATGCTCATCCTGTGAGCCAATGGCAAAACCCAACCCTGCTGGGAGAGATGGGATGGAGAAGTTCATGGTTTCAACCCTGAGGAAAACAGGATATCCAAACCTACAGCTACAGCTGTGCCAAGCTGGCCAAGGCTGCGTGCAAAGTGCCTGAGTCCTCTGCAGCCATGCCACTGAGCATAGCATGAGGGGACTGGGTCCAAACCATGGGATTTCCATTGGGATTGGCTGGAACTGACCTCACCAGCTCCCAAAACACTGCCTGGGAAAAATGAAAGCCCTCAGGCTGGAGGAATGGAGAGCCATGGCACTGCTCCAGTGCAGTGAGAAGAGAGAAAAACAACAGGTTAGGAAGACTGAACCCAAGGAAAACAAGTTGTCCGCTCCTCACCTTACACGGTGCAACATCCCGACTCCTCAGTGCTCCCAAAGCATGGGATGCTCTTCTGCTCCACTCATGCAAGAGAAGCCTCGGGGCAACCAACGCCTGCACAGCTCAAAGTGTGCATCAGCAGCAGCACAAGCACCGGTGCCTGTGCAACCCTGTAGGAACCTGGTGTAATCTGAAGGAGGAATTGTATAATAAAAGAGCTGAGACAGCAACTGCACTGCCTGGCTTTAGGGCAGGGCTCTCCTCCTGTCTGTCTGTAGCAGCAGAAGTGCAATCAGCATAAAGACAAGACACGGTGCCTGGGCACGCAGTGGTGCTGCAGGACACACGGCCCTACAAAGCAGCAGCTCCTCAAATCCTCTCATTCTTTCTCTTGGCACTCAGAGGAAAGCAGAAGAGAACCACGCTGAGAGAAGCCAGCAGCCAAGGGCACTGCTCATCCCTGCTGTCCCACCATGCTGCCAGCTGCAGCCCCCAGCAGCCCCCGCTGCCCTCTGTGCTCCCAGGCTCGAGTCAGGGTGCATCTCTCAGCACTCGGCAGCAGCCACCAGCGAATTGGGCACAGCTGAGGCTGCTGTCAACTCCTGTCGGAGGAGAGAAGCTCAGCAAGGTACTCAAGGGCACAGATTTGGGTCAGACAAATGTGCTCGTGCTGTGTAGTTACAGGAGGGGACTCAGAGCAAAGCACAGAGTTCAAATCCAGTTCAAATTCAGGGCAAAAAAACCCACAAGGTTTTCCGACCTGCACACAGACAGACCAAATGTCGTCTGATCAAGACAGGCTTCTCTCCACGATTTGATGACAGAACATCTCTCTGCTGTTGCAGAAACGAAGTGAAAGACATGCAGAGTGAGAGCAGCTCCATGGCAGCAGTCAGGAGCCAGAGTCCCATCGCTGCCACCTGTGTGCCAGAGCCCTCCATGCGTGACAACAGGAGAGCAGTGATGCTGTGCAGAGATGCAAGCAGGGAGGAGTCACACCCTGGGCAGGACGTGGGGAAAAAGGTTGGAATTCTGGTGGAATGTAAACCTGATGGATTTATATACATGGGAGGAGAAGGTTTGGACAGCCCAAGGGGTCTTGCAGAGCTGGGTCACCAGGACATCCCAAATGGCCGAAAAAGATTTGGAGTTGGCCCTCTCTAACAGGACAGGTTGCACAGACTGACACAGCCACCAATGTTTGAGCAAGGGGGTCCTTTAATAGCATTATTTCTGCCTTATTTCAACCATTTTTCCTATTTCCATTGCATCCTTAAAACACGAAATGAAAGGCAGACTGAGGCAGCACTCCCTCCCCTTTCCCTTGCACCAAGGGGCACGTTTCTCACATGATTCCACCAAAAATCTGCCCAAAAAGACACTCCCCATTCTTCTCCTCTGCCCACATCCCCATCCACGCTGGTCTGCAGGTGCTTCTCACACCGGTGTTCCTTTGGGGAACAGTGGAGTTCTGACACCTCCTTTGCTCACTTCTGTGCCCTCTGCTTTCAGCCACTCCATCTTCTGCCTGTGCTGCTGCACAGCGTCAGCGACCCGAGCATCGATCATGGCCTCGGTCAGAACGCCGTCCTCTGACGCATAAGCAGCAGCCTGGGGAGGCAAAGGCAGAGGAAAGGCACACGTGAAGCCAATAAGGTAGAGAGGAAAAGGTGCATATGGTGATGGAGTATCTCCATCCAAGGCAACGGAAATGGTTTTAAATGGTTACAAGGGAGGACTAAGAGCAGTGTCAGGGTGAACACGGGCAACGCGGCATCTCTAAAATGGTGTGTGATGTGTGACCCTCTGGTTTTCCACCTGGAATCACCCCATATCGCTGCTGTGTTGCATCAAGTCCCATCCTGTCCTCATGTCCTGCATGGGAATTGTTTGAGTCACAGCCTGAACCAGCGATGGAGCACCTGGGGAAAGGACCGGGTCAGCCCTGGGAGCACAGGTGAAGGCAGTTCAGTGGTGTGATCAGAAAGGGTGGAGCCTGGCTGCACCTCTCTGAGACCTCACTTAAGGGCTGACTTCCACTGGGGAAGGAGCTCTGGTTGGAGATCTTTCCTTGGTGGGGCTTTCCTCTGCAGACCTGGAATCTTCTGATACAGGTAAGCAATTTTCTACCTTTCCTTTATAGTACTTTTCTATCATGCTGATCCTTCTGTCATTACACCTCTGGGGAAACACCTTTTTCTATCATACTGCTCTGTCCAATTGCTATGTGCCCCAGGAGGCTTTCCCTTACCTAATCCTCCAGTGGTTGTGAGGGTAAAAGCCATATGTGCCACTCTCCCCCAACTGTGCCAATGGGGTTGTCCTGCTGGTCTGCACACAAGGAATGTGGGAGCCCAGCAATGCAATGCAGCATACAGCTGCAGCCCAGAAGGAAGGGGAGGCTGCTGGCACTGCGAGCTGAGCATCTCATCTCCAAGGTAACAATGCAACCCTGAGCTGCAGACTTCTATATCTGCTGACTCCCTGTGCCAGTGCTCCCATAACACATTCCTGGTACAGCAATGCCACTAAGGCAGCCTGACACAGCCAGCTCCTCACCCCAAACCTCTGCCCACATCCCCCTCCTCCCTGCCTCTGCACAGCCCCTCAATCCGACTGTGGAAACTCCTGCAAAGCTGTGCAGTTCATGCTCTGTTGATTTTCTCAATGACTTTCTATTTATAGGAAGCCTCAGGCCCTTGTTGTCAAGAAAGCAAATGGGGGAAGCAGCTGTCCCTTCTGGGAGGAGTTGCATACATTGAGATGGTGCTGTGCTCATTTGTATTCATACCTCTGACTCCTGCCTGGACAGATTTTAACCCGTTTTAAGCCAACTATTTGTGTTTTGTAACTCTAACCCAAAACAACGTGTGTTGGTGCAAGGAGAAAGATGGAGCACAGATGACAAACACAGCCTGAACGACCCAGTGCTTCATTGCAGCCCAAATCCAAGTGTTTCCACTTGGCCTTGGTGCCTTTGAATCGCAGTTCTGATGAAAGCAGCCTGCTGAAAAATAAAATGGGCAAGATACCTCCGTTCTTATGATTAAGGCTTGGAAAAGTGGAGGGCTTCTGTGCTGATGCTTTATCTAAAGCTTATCGGCGGGTTTAAGGTCAGGATGCAAAACTAGGAAGCCTGCACATTACTGTAACAGATTCAAAGGGAACTCTGTAGTGTGTAAATGCATCTAATCCATACTGCATTCATCAAGGATTAGGTACAGGGAGTGGAAAAGAGCAAGGACAAAAGGGAAGGCAAAGTCTTTGGCAGAAGAGATTAAAATGGATTTCCAGCATGCAGACCATCAGCTGTGCCACAAACGACAGTATTCTCTTCAGTGCCAGCACTCACTCCCTGCTTTGCTGCACCTTATTTTTCCTGTTTGGAACATTCAGGACAAAGTGAGAGAGCATTAAAGCATACCTTCATTCAGATGGCATGCCCACCTTCCAGAGGAACTCCAATCAATGGAAGCTGCAGCTGCTCAGGCTCTCTTACCTTCATAGCAAAAGCACCTTTGTGGGAAATGCTGCAAGGCCGTGGGGCTGCAGAGCAGCTTTCTGCTGTCGTTCTGAGCTGCTCTTTGGGAAGAGCTGACTGCTGTGATGGTTTATCCCCCAACTACTTCAGAACCTGACCTTCTCCCAAACCACCTCTGGGTTTGGTTCTGTCCATGAGCCCAGGCAGGCTGGATAGAGCTGAGGTAAGAGTCTATGAGGTAAGTCCCAGCATTTCAAAATCCTATCACACCTTTCCTACAACTACCTGCTGCTTTCTGGGTTTCACTGCACAGAAGTTAAGGCTGAAGGACTGCAGGCAGCATCCCCCAGTCAGCTGGAGGTGATGGCAGGACAGCCCCTGTGAAACTGAACAGCACTTCAATGCAGATGAAGGCTGACACAGTGTCTCTCAGCTCTGCTGCCCAGACACGGGTTAAGGCTCTGCTCTGAGACACCTGTAGAGACAGAACGCTTCCAGACAGCAACACTGCAAATGACTGTTGGAGGAAAAAACTAATTAAGGAAAACATACACAGAAATGCGAGGTGAATTAAGCGACAGGCATATTGCAATTAAGCCTACACTTGGAGGATTAGCTCCAAGTCGCATCAGGTCACTGTAGGAAATAGCTGAAAACAAAAGGCAAACAAAACGCTCCCACCTAGCTCTGTGCTCCAGCACCAGCAAAGCAGTTTTCAGCAGGGCTTTGTGCTGTAATCTTCCCAGAATGGGTCAATTGAATCTATTTATTAGGCAGAGACCCGAGGCACGCTGCATCTCAGCAGCTGTCCTGATGAGCCTATCTGAAAGAGCACTGGAAGCTGTTTCAAGGCAGCTTTGAGGAACTTCTGAAGAGCAGCAGGCTCACAACATCTGCTGTTTATCAGCTCTGTAAGGTGTTCCCAAGATGAAAAGCAACTGTAAGAGATGCCTCATTTTCCCTTTTTCTTGGCTCTTTTTGCCCTTTATCTATTTCTCCTGCCAGACAGCCCCTGCACACCCTGACCTCAGATGTGCCAAGACAACAGTGTGGCTGCACTCAGCTCGCCTTGCCAAGCTATTTTTAATCTCTTTCAGCTCTCTGACCCAGTTCACAGCACAGCCATACAAAGAGGTGTAGCAGCACAATGGAAAGGATAGCAGAAAGGCAGGAATAGGAGGCAGGACTAACACTGCTAGAAATGCTATGTAGGCACAGTGCCTATATAGAAATAAGAAGTAGACAGAATTTCCAGCTCTATTTTCCAGTTAGCATCGTTCCTTCAATCACTCAAATTGTACTAAAAATACATTCAGATTGGAGCAAGGTGGAAGCATGCTTCAGTGTCCTGATGCTGGCGTACCTACAGGCAGCATCAGGCATCTCTTCTGCTAAGCCTCTTGAGCTGGAACATGAGCAACAGCCAGCGTGGTTTGGCCACACTTGTTCTTAAGGAACTTGCTTTGCTTTAATTCAATAGGGGGTTTCCCCACTGGTGATTCCAAGAGCTCTTCCTATTTAATGAGACAAGGAGTTACACAGACACTGACACCCACTTTAGAGCTAGTAGTGTTCTGGTATTGCTACCAGGGCATGATGACATTTTCCATGATCTGAGACTCCATCCAAAAAAAAATAAATCAATAAGCCTTATAGAAAGGGAGAAAGAAGCAGGAAGCCCAGTGAAATCCCACCTACCTGCCATGCCACAGCAAGCTGGGAGATCTCTCGGCCAGACATGCCCTCTGTCAGCCTGGCAATCTCTGAGCACTTTTTGCCGTAGTCAAACTGGGCCAGCTTCAAACGTCTAAAAGCAAAAGCACAAGGATTGCTTTATATGCATCCACGTGAGAAGAGGGGGCAAGGCAGAGGGAAGTTTGCATGAAGCAACTTGCGATCGACAATTGCACTCCTGAAGGGGAGCATCAGATTTTTCTTCGTTTTGGAAAAGGGAGCAGCTCCACCACTGCTGAGGACAACAGCAACAAGGAGAATCCTGCAGGGATACTCACTGTTTACCCTCTGTGGCTGGCTTCAGGACATGCCTATCAAAATACATCCTCACGAGCCGCTCTCGCTCTTCTAGCTGGGGCAGATCAAAGTTCACCATTTCATCTATTCGGTCATTGATAGCCCAGTCAAACTGCTCAGGCTGGTTGCTTGCTAAAACAAGCATAAACCTGGAAGTGTGAAACAGGAAAAGACTGAAAAGAGCCATAGAAAACTAAATAGAAACCAATTTGGACCTCAGGAACTGCTTTGGTCGAAGGCCCTTCATCACCTGACGTGCCTTAAAAACAGCTTTGTAACTGCATCTCAAGTGACATCCTACAGTACATAGCCTGAATATCAGCCCTTCTCAGGCTGTCTTTGCCATATAAGCCTAACTTATTGTTTTACCCACAATCACCCTCGAGTTGTGGATATCAAACATTTAGCAACATTTAGCACCCCCCACAGACCTCCCTGTCTGAGCCCTGAATGGACTCATCCCAGCAGGAGAGTAAGGAGAGCATGCTCCTGTTGGGTTTGTGTATGGCAAGGTCATTCTCCTGCAGCAGCTGGCAGGAGTTGCTTTGTTTTCCTCAGTCAAGACTGAGATTCCTGCTATCAGGTCTAATGTGTGCTCAATCAGAGGCACTCACAATGGTAATGCAATGTAAAGGCAGTGGATTAAACCAACTTCTGCCCCATGGTACAGCTGTGCCAGCTTCCAGGTCACATTGTTTTGGAGACAGAAGTCCTTTCTTTTGCTCTGGAATGTTGTGTCTTCCCAGTGCCAACTGCACTTTAATGCCTTAATTGATGTCAGCAGCTTAGCAGTGCGTTGTGATTTGAAATGGGCTTTTAACCACAGCTATTGAAACACTGATGTTCTTGTGGTCTATTTAAATCCAAGCCCACAGGGGGTTGTGTTCTCTGCTGTCATTTGTGCAGATAACTTAGATGGCCCAAGAGCCACACTGGCACAAAACTGCTCCTCTCTATTGACAGGAATTCTCCTCAAGACCCTGCAACGTTATAGATAAAGAATGGGTACACAACCTGATATTCAGACCTTCCCTTTGACATGTGGGTGAAAAGGATACCAGTGAGCTCCCGTTTATGGTTGTGGGATGCTTGATTGCCCAAATCAGCAGTAAGTCAGGTTAGAAACCAGCACATACGTACTTGTTGCTGTGCTGCCCTGTTCTGTGCAGGAATGCATTCAACGTCGCTCTGAGATCTTCACTGATTTTCTCCTGCAAAGATAAAACCCAAAGGAAGATCAGCTGCTTGGGACTTCAGACAGGTCACAGTTTAAGCAGCATTATTGACAACGTGAGCTTTGTTTTCGTCAAGGATTCTCCCAGCCATCTGCAAAGGTTTTTTGCAGGGAAGAATTCTCAGGTCAGCTTTGAGATGCTCACATCGTTGAGCTGCAAAAGGCTCATTTCTCATCTCTGCATCGCTTAATTGAGCAGCACAGCACCTTCCAGTTTTAATCTTTTGCCTGTTTAAGCTGGCTAATCACGTTAAACAAGTAGGCTGCAGGCTGGCTAACTGCAGTGTGCACAGATAATGACCAGAGAGAAAGCACTTACTGTGGCTCTCTTCCGCAGAAATGCATCTGCTTCATCCACGAATAGCAAGAGGCTGCAAAAAGAAAGCACTACACAGTAATAGGGACAGGTAAGTGAGGCTCACAAAGCTCCAAGATTCCCCTGTCTTGCTTCCAGACACCCACAGCAGTGACCAGCTGTATATCTAGCAGTGCTGCTGCGTTCCTGTCAAGTCAGAGCAGATATGTGAAATCTAGACCTGCTCCCCAGGTAGTGGAGAGTGCTTATTTTAGCATTCACTCCTATCCAGAGAAATGTGTGAGGCTGCAAGGCGTTTCAGCATCCAAGGAGCTGAGCTGATGGTGGCTCCTTCCTTATCCCATTCAAAACCTGAAGCCAGAGCCCTCCCCTGCACACTGCTTTGCTGTTTTGTTGGTTTCCCTTTCCAAACCACACTGGCAATAATGGAATGGTTTTACTACCTGTGGAGAAGTGAATTAATAAAGCCAATGAATAATTCAGGAAAATAAATTCACTTATAACCCAAGGGCAGTGCTCTTCCCAAGGGACTGAGTGTATAAAGATGTTTATCAATAACAGAACCAGCCTGCTCATAAAGCTGCCACAGCCTCTATTGCTTTCTTGTCCAGCTTCTTTCTCTCTTTCATAGCATTTGTCCAAGAGGTTTTAGGGCCTCTTAACATCTCATTCTCACATTCAACTCCAGTTTTTCTGAAAACTTTCTCAACTACAATCTCTGCAGAGAAGCATTTCCTGGTTTTGGCCAATAAAGGCAACACAGAACTTGCAAGCAGTTAAAACTGTTGGATATCCAGAATAAAGTCTGCTTAGATGTTTGCATGTTACTCAAGCTTAGAACACTCAAGTATGGACACAGCTAACCTTTGCCCATCACTTTTTTAAGACACTGATCTGAAGCGTATGAAGTTCTTATCAGACAGAAGTTTTTAACCAGGACAGAATAAATTCAGAGGCAGCCAGAGCTCTGAAAGAGAACTCTATGGTGGAAGCATCCAGCAGGTTGAGAGGAATGTAAAGAGTTTAGATCCTCAGGTCATTACTTGGCAGGTTTGTTTTATGAAGGGGAAATAGAAACATTTAGATGACAAATGCAGCAAGGATTGAAATAGACACTGCAAGATAGTGTCCATCTAAAGCAATCAGGGTACACATCAATCATCAATTTGTCGTGTTTGTCTACAGAACACCTGCAATCAAAATATAACACAAAAATCAGCAGGCACTCCCTACAAGTTCTCCATTTGGCTTTAATATCCTGGCTGGACAAAGATGCTCCTCAGCTGCATTTGGACTGCAAAAATCTATTTCCACCAGTACAAATTGACTACACTCTTAAGAAATCAAAGAGTGGAGCTTTTTAAAATACTGTAAGGCAAGAAAAATGCAAAAAATGCAAAATGCACTCATTCTAGGCAAGCTTTAGAGGATGGTGTTCTTGCTCAGCGCTGCCTCATCAACACAAGAGCATCACTCACACAGCAGTCTGAACTACATCACTGCAGTGAGTTTCTTCGAGCAA